CTTTGGGAAGTGATCAGGGTCTCCCAGGAGTGGAATGAATGTCCTTATAAAAGAGGCCTCAGACCACCCCTCACTCCTTCTGTCATCTGAAGGGGTGGCAAGAAGGTGCTGGTCTAGGAACCAGGTGGCAGACTCTCACCAGACGTTGAATCTGCCAGCACCTTGCTTTTGGACTTGCAGCCACCCAAACTGAGAAACAGATGTGTGTGGTTTACAAGCCGCTCAGCCTCTGGTATTTTGTTACAGCAGCCCAAGTAGAGTTAGAGTTCATTCTTGTTTTTTTCCTCTTCTATATTTGTAACTCTTTATCAGTTCAAAACCTGTTTTCATTCTCCTTAGTATAGTTACTGATTTTTCTCAACATTCCATTATTTAAACAATCTCGAAACTCCATCAGGCCGCCACTTCACTCAGCCCCCTTCCTGTCTGCCCGCTCCACAGCTGCCCCCTTCCTGGCCGCCCTGTCCATGGCCACCCCTCCCTGGCCACTCCTTTCCTGGCTGCCCCCTCTCTGACTGCCCCCTTCCCAGCTGCCCCTTCCCCGGCCACTCCCTTCCCCGCTGCCGCTTCCCCAGCCTTGCTGCTCTGCCCCACTCAGTTCTGATGGTGCTAGCTGGTTCTGACTCCAGCAGTTGGAGATGGGTCTGCATAGAGACTTGACCGAAATATTTCATTATTCAGAAAAGAAGAGAGAAAAGAAAGTTTTTTTAAAGAAATTTAAAGGGAATAAAAATCCAAAATAACAAAAGATGTGAGATGCAGCTAAAGCAGCACTGAGAGGGAAATTTATAGCACTAAATACTCACATTAGAAAAGGGGGAGTCTCATATCAATAAGCTGGGAGAGCAGGTGCCAGGGTGCCAGCACCTTCACCATGCTGGCCTTGGCCCATCCTGTGCCCGGAACCTTCCAACACAAGAATTGAGAAAAATCTCAGATACAACCATTTGGCCCCTTTCATTCCCATGCTGTTTCTTGTATAAGTATGTGGCAAACTTTAGAAATTCCTCTTAGAAATGTGAATGGGGTGGTCTGTCTGTCTCATTCCTTATGCCCCCGACCTGTACCATTCATTGTCGGCTGTGACCCAGTCAAGCCACCGAGTGCTTTTCCTGACCAGAAACCTCCACGCCAGCGCCCTGCAGAAGCTGCTTGAGTTGCTTTCTCTGTGTGAAACTCAGAGGTGGACGGGCCACTCCACAGTCTGGGGCTGTTACCACTGCCCAGTTTCTGCTGCCTCCTCGTGCTCCACGCCAGCCTTTCAGCAGAGACGGAGTTCGTCTTCCTTTTACAAAAATGGATGAGCCAAGCCCAGATCACACACACCTGCTGTTGTCTTCACTTAGCCCCATTCAAGCTACTTGTGTAAATTGTCCATGCACCTTTTGACCCCTCCTGGAGAATGTTCACCTCTCTTGATTGTGTTTTATCACTCATAGCCTCCTGGTGGGAAGGCCAAATAATGCATTTTCTCTCCATGTTAGAGGGAAAAATTGGAAAGATCTTCCCAAAAGTTATCCAGGTGGAGAGTGGCAGGTGGCTGGTGAGGGGGGAGGATGCCCACCCAGGAATCTTTTTTTTTGCCTTATTGAGGTGAAGTTCACATAACATAAAATGAAGTTTTAAAATGGCATTTAGTGTATTCACAGTATTGTGTCATACCACCTCTATTGAGGTCTAAGATATTTTCATGCCATCAGTTGACCAATAGTAGTAACTTTTAAAAAATGGTAAAATATTTTCATCACCTACGCCTGTAATCCCACCACTTTGGGAGGCTGAAGTGGGTGGATCACTTGAGGTCAGGAGTTTGAGAGCAGCCTGGCCAACATGATGAAACCCCATCTCTACTAAAAATACAAAAATTAGCCAGGCGTGGTGGTGTGCACCTGTGATCCCAGCTACTTGGGAGGCTGAGGCAGAAGAATTGCTTGAACTGGGGAGGCGGAGGTTGCAGTGAGCCAAGATTGTGCCATTGCACTCTAGCCCAGCCTGGGTGACAGCAAGACACTGTCTCAAAAAGAGTATTTTCATCATCCCACAAGGAAACCCCATACTATTAGCAGTCACTTATTACCCTTCCCCAGCCCCTGGCAACACCTGTCTGCTCTGTGTCTGTGGATGTGCCTGTCCTGGAAATTTCATAGGAATGGAGTTGTACAATGTGTGTCCTTTCATGTCTGGCTGCTTTCACTGCGCGTGGTGTGTTCCAGGACCCCCGCGTTGTCGTATGTCAGTGCTTCATTCCTTTTGGTGGCTGGGATTCCAGTGCAGGGATGGGCCAGTTTTACCATTCATCTACTGATGGCCATTTAGGTGGTTGCCACCTTTTGTGAATTGTAGGTAGTAATGCCATCAACACTCATGAACTCATGTTTTTTGAGTTCCTGTTTCAGTTCTTTTGGGTATACGCCTGGGGGTAGTAGTTCTGTGTTTAATGTTTTGGGGAACCCCATCTGTGCATCTCAAACCACCCACAGCACCGTGTTTGTGCGCCCCCTGCCTCCCCGACACTTGCTGGCCCCCACCGCAGAATTAGCATCACATTAAACCAGACTCACCGAGAGGCGGGTATTTTAAACCAGGGCCCCACTCAGCACCTATTCTGGGATGGCAGGAGAGGGATGGGCCATCGGGATGCTGTGATTGCTTCTCTGGGCAGCAGGGACCTCAGACTCCACAGGTCACCCCCTCCTCCGCGCAGCCCTCCTGCTGGTTCTTTCAGCTCTCCACCTGAGAACGTTTGGCTCTTTGGCCAAAAGGGCTGTTACTTTGGACCCAGTGGTCGCTGGTGGGTCTGTCTGGGAGTCAGAACCAAGCAGCACTTGTTGGGTGCTGTGTATCAGAGACCGTTTCTTAAACGCCCCGTGCCTGCTGCTCTGATTCACGAAGGCCAGACTGAAGTCAGGTCTCCAAGCAGTGGGCGTCTCACGTGAGTCTGTGCCACCCGAAAAACAAGTGTGGATTGTGTTGGCCTTGTCTTTTACCTCCAGCTTGCTTTCTCCCGCGGTTTTTGCTTGAATCTGTAGCTCTAAGCAGTTGATTACCAGCAGCAGTTTACAACAACTGCAGTTTTGTAAACAGCAGCTTACTTTCATGAAAGCTTTCCCAGTATAAATGCTATTATGTCCTTCCCCCAGAAGTCTCATGCCCAGCCCCCAAAAATGTGAATTATAAGTGGTAAAGATAATGTGGGGCTCACACAGTGGGGGGAGGTGGTTCTTTGCCTGGGATTGCACCTAATGTTTAAGCACCCCATAATGGACCACACTTCCACGCGGTTTCCAAAGTGGGCTGAGTTACGAGCTAGAAAACAGATAATTTTTAATGCACTCACCTTCCTGTTGCTTAAACAAAAGTGAAATCTTTAAGGAGACAGCTTATTAGGCCTTGTGATTTTATCAGCTGGTGTAAAATAAAAAGGAAATGTACTCGAATACCAGGGGGCATGGCAGAAGCCTCCCTTGGATTTACTGAGAAAGATGTGTGGGAAACTCACGTATCTCTGTTGATGTCACCCTCAAAGTCCCTGTAACACAGAGAAGATGTGTGTTGTAATAGTCATTATCTTGCACAAAAAGAAATTGAGGTACGGTGGTGGATCTCATCTACCTTAGATGATTGGATAAGGGGGAGTAGAAGCCGCAGCTGGGGTGGCCATGTATAGCCGTGCGGGCTGCACACTGCACAACTCGAGGCAGGGCTTGCTGCCTGGGTGTCCAGGGTCCCCTGAAGTCATGCAACTTGGCCATCTGGCTGAGCTCCTGTTTCCAGTTCTGTGTGCTGCCTTTCAGCCTAGTTGCCCTATTTTTGAGATGTGGATGTCCTGGAGTAGGCGGGCCCCGATCCAAGATGATCAGTGTCGTCCTAAGAGGACAGATGCTGAGACTCAAAGGCACTCAGGGAGAAGCTGCGTAGCCAGCTCCTGGAACACACCATGCTCCAGAAACTCCTGAGTTTCCGGAACTTGAGACCCACATGCTTAAGTTCCATGGCCAGCATGGATCATGCAGGGCTGGTGCTGCTTTTCTTGCTGGAAGGGCGTCTGAGGCTGACTGGGTGGATGTGCGCCTTATTCTAGGAGGGGCTGACCAGGAGCTGAGACCCATGAGAGCTGCCTAGGGAAAGGGGGCTCATCCCCGAATGGCAAACCGTATCTCTTTGAGAAGGGAGAGGTTTCACCCGACGTCACTGATTCCAGAAGGATTCTTGTACCCCACCCTGGAACAGACTCCTGGCCCAGACAGGGAGCTCCACACCTTAAGACGAGATGTGGGGCCGTCGGCGGCCGGGTAGCGGCCTCCTGGTATCTGTACTGTAGGAGCCACAGGGTCGGGGAGCAGGAGCCTGGCCAGGTGCTGTGGTCAGGAGGACACCCCCAGAAGAGCAGAAGCGGGTGTTCACAGGAGGGGCCCTGGGGCTTGAGTGTTGGCTGCTATCTTCATTTTCTGGGGTCCCCGTCACAAAGTACCGCGGACCGGGTGGCTCAGACAATTCTCTCCCAGTCTGGCACTTAGAAGTCTGAAGTCAAGGCGTGGGCAGGGCTGTGCCCTCTCTGAAGTCTGAAGGGCTGGGCCCTCCCTGTTTTTTCCTAGCTGTTGGGGGTCCAGGTGTCCCTCGGCTGGTAGACAGCCACTCCAGCAGCTGCCTCTGTGGCTACGTGGCTTCTCCCTGCATGCCTTTGAGTCTCAGCATCTCGGTCATCTTCGATTGGGGCCTGCCTACTCCACGACATCTGCATCTTAATTAATTCCATTGGCGCCAGCTCTTTGTCTAAACGAGGCCATGTTCTGAGATTCTGGGAAGCAGAACTTGAAGGGTCACCATGCAGCCCAGCACAACTAGTTTGGGGAACTAACTTAAGGCTGGGGGCTCCTCATCCTTGTCCACCTGCTGCCCACCCTGTGATGTGTCCTCCCCACTCCATGAGTGACAGGTGCACCTGCTGAGGACAGTGGCAGAGAAAACGCTGATGCCTTCTGTGCTTTCTCTCTTGACAGCCCAACATCGGCTACCTGGGCCTGCCCCACAGGCCGTCCAGGGAGAAGATGGCTGTGTTGACGGTGCGGTGGGTGACTCTGTTACAGCTGTGGCTGTGTGCTTCGGGAAAGGACATCGGGAACTACAGCTGCGCTGCCCAGGACACTCAGACTGGCTCCAAGAAGTGAGCATCTGAGGAGGGGAGGCCCTGGGGGTCCGCGCCCCCTAACGTGCTCATCCTGCAGACTTCCCAGAGCAGGGCCCCATGTAGGTACTCTGGGTGCAGTGCCCTAGCAATCTCAGTCCAGGCTGGAGTCAGACTCCCTCTCCATGGTTGGGGCACCTTCCCTCTGACATGTTAGAACCTTCTAGAATAGTCTCCCTAAGTATCAAGAGTGGCCAGGCCAACCCCAGGGTTGTGATGGCTGATTTGTAGACCCAGAGACGGTCTCTGGCCCCACTTCCACAGATTACTGGCTTTGTTCCCACAAATTCTGGTGCTTGGGACTCCAGGACACTCTGTTAAGTGAAGTGCTGTGTCACCCAGGTCGTCCCAGAGGCTTATGTGTGTGTGTATGTTTTCCTGAGATGGGGTCTCGCTCTGTTGCCCAGGCTGGACTGCAGTGGCACGCTCCCAGCTCACTGAAGCCTTGATCAACCTCCTGGGCTCATGCCATCCTCCTGCCACAGCCTTCCGAGTAGCTGGGACCACAGGCTTACACCACCACACCCAGCTAATTTTTTAAATTTGTTGTAGAGACAAGGCCTCCCTATGTTGCCCAGGCTGGTCTTGAACTCCTGGACTCAAGCAGTCCTCTAGCCTCGGCCTCCTGAAGTGCTGGGATTATAGGCACAAACCACTAAATCACCACAGAAGAACCTTTTTTGAAGATAATATAATAGCCCTGATACATCCTGAGCACCTGATAGGGGCTGGGGGCAGTCCCTTGCCTGGTTCATCTCATCCTGCCCAACTGGGTTGGAGGCGGGATGGTGCCCTTTTGCTGAGATGTAAACTGTGCCCCAGAGAGGTCACAGCCCTTGCCTGAGGTCGCACCGCTGCCTGGAGTGCCACCAGGGTTCTCATTTTCTTCTGGCCTCACTTCAGGTCCATTCCTTTTTCTGGAAGATCTCAGAGGCCATAGTGGAGTTGAGTCCCCACTGGCCTTGACCTGTGCCCCCCGTGCTCACATTCAGTCTATGTGTGGACCAGCCTGGGTGGGCAGGACTCGGTGGTCACTGGTGAGTGTCAAACACCGAAATGGTCAGGACCGAAGGCAAGTGCAAGGAAACAGGCACAGAGAGGCATACGGAGCCTTTGGCGGGACCAGATGCTGCTTGGTTTCTGAACCCAGCCTGCTGTGGCTGCCTCTTGCTGCCCAGACATCACAGAGGACAGCTTTACCTCCTCAGTTCCCTGGCTCTGACCAGCCCTCTGCTCCTGGGGGGCGTCCCCAACCTGCTGGAAGACTTCCCAGTGCACAACTGACAGTTTGTGGGGGTGCGTGCGGAACCTGTCAGCTGACAGCAAAAATGTGGACATGGCTGGATTCTTCGCCAACAATGGTACCAGAGAAGGTACGGTGGCTGCCGGGGTGTCGGGGCTGCCGCAGTGGCATCTGGTTGGACGTTGGCAGCCACACAGAGGTCACCGCTTACACATCGCAGGGGAGCCATCTTTTTTCTTACCAACGTGTGTGCCCGGCTGTGGGCAGCTCTGGCAGTGGAACCTGGAGTCCAGGCTCTAGATGTGCAGCTCCCAGTTTCTGCAGTTCGGAGTTGCTGTGACGCCGCGGGCCCAGCCAGCTAACCCAAGGCACACATGATCCTAGGGTCTTGCATATGTCACCTGGCGACCGGATCGGCTGCCATGATGGCCTGGAGCCCCAGCGTGTCCAAACGTGGGCAGCGTGTTCAGCACCACCTCAGTTCCCACGTTCCTGCCTCTGCCAGAGGTGTTTAGACCTGGTCTGATTTCTGTCCAGCCCCGTGTTCATTCCATCCTGGTTTCCCACACCGTGCCCGGCACAGCACACCCTGGATGGTTCCTTTAAGTGGGGTTCCGCTGCATGCTCTGTGTTGCCAGGCTGCTTGGAGGAACTTCCATGATGGGACGTGGTGTCAGAACGGGGGCACCTGTGTCCACAGGTGGAACATGTATGTGTGTGAGTTTCCGCTCCAATTCAGTGGGAAGAACTGCGAGCAAGGTGAGTGGCTGGCATCGTCCATCCCCCGGCCATGGCGGCCTGGGAGGTATTGCTCCTTGTGTCTGGGACCACTGTGAGGAGGCTTCACGTTCTGGACCAGCAGCCTCCGGCAGCATATGCTGTGTTGACTGCGGACTCAGTGCTCTCTCCAAGAGACTGTACTCCGCAGAACCCCCACTCCTGACCCTGGGGTCCCCAGTCCCACCAGCCACTCCTGACCCATGGCCAGCCCCACTAGCCACTGAGCCAGGGATCCAGAACCCACCTCCTCCTGCCTCCCATCCAGCTTCAGAGCCCCTTGCCATGCCCATCTGTGGCTAGGGCCCTGCAGGTCTTCACACTTCCTAAGAAGGAGGCTTACGTTCCAAGGTGGGCTTTTGTGGAGCCCACATGGCTGACCGGCCTGCAGGCCCATCCCCCAGCCCTGCAGCCAGGAGTCTCCAGCCCGTGTGATTTCTGGAGGCACCTAAATTCCCTGGGCCTGTATTCACAGCCATGCCCCACCCCCAGCTCTTCAGCGGTGACAGCGTCATTTCCTGGAGTGATCTGAACATCACCATCTCCATACACCGGTACCTCGGGCTCATGTTGCGAACTCAGAAGGAGCACAGCGTTCTGATGGAGGCTATCAGCAGCACGCCCACCTACTTTTGTCTCCAGGTGACTGGGGTCCCATGCCACCAGGGCACCTGCTAGGTGGGTACTCAAGGGAGGGACCCAGGTGCTGGGCTTCCTGGTGCACACTCCAGCACCTGCTACTTACCCTTCCCCTTGTGCCCGCCCCTGGGTTTCTCCGAAGAGGATGAGGAGGAACATGAGCCCTTTCCTCTGGGAGGTGGAGACTGAGCGAGGGAACATGGGGTTAGGCCAACCCCAGGGGCCAGCAGAGCTCAGCCGAGGTGCATTTTAAACGGCAGCTCCAGTCTCCCTCTAGCCCGAGGGTTTGGCTAGAGCCATGGGCATTGCAGAGCTGAGGGAGGTGCCAAACCTTCAGGTGGAAACAGCGGGCCTCACCAGTTAAAGGTGCAGCCAGGTGGAGGCCGGGCGCCCTGACTCACGCCTGTAATCCCAGCAATTTGGGAGGCTGAGGCGGGTGGATAACCTGAGGTCAGGATTTCGAGACCAGCCTGGCCAGCATGGAGAAACCCTGTCTCTACTAAAAATATAAGAAAATTAGCCGGCCGTGGTGGTGGACGCCTGTAGTCCCAGCTACTCCGGAGGTTGGGGCACGAGAATTGCTTGATCCCAGGAGGTGGAGGTTGCAGTGAGCCGGGAACATAACCATTGCACTCCAGGCTGGGCGACAAGACCAAGACCCAGTCTCAAAAAAAAAAAAAAAAAAAAGCTGCAGCCAGGTGGTGGTTGGCATCAATGCACCATTCGCTGTCTCCGGGAGCTTGGCTCAGCCAGAGATGCATAATGCCCTACTGTGTCGCTGTCTGCATGTTTTCTCTATCTTGTTGGTCTTTACTGTTTCCTTTATTTGAAACAAAAGTTTATTTGTTGGATAAAGTTCTGAACAACTTTTTTTTTTTTTTTTTTTTGAGACGGAGTCTCGCTCTGTCCCAGCTGAGTGCATGGCGATCTCCTCACTGCAACTCCGCCCCGGTTCCCCATTCCTGCCTCACCTCCCGATAGCTGGATACAGCCCACAACCGCCCGCTAATTTTTGTATTTTAGTAGACGGGTTTCACCGTGTTCGATCTCCTGTGATCCCCGCTCGCCTCCAAAGTCTGGATTACAGGCGGAGACGGCCGGCCTGAACAACTTTTAGAAGGTGGTATAAATGCACTCTTTCCTCTGGTTTCTTGCATCACGCAGTTTCCGCTCACATCTTCCATGCTCCGTAGACACTTCCTGTGAGGAACAGTCATAAGCCCTGTCTTCTCTCATCAGGCTGCCCTTTTGCCACACCCTGGAGACTCCGCTGTACAAGGTAGCCACGCGGACCCTTCCTTCAAGGGAACCCCCAGCCCTCAGCTTGCCCTCTCGCCCCTCTGCCTGCACATCCCCAGGTCATTCTCATCTGTAGTGATGGCGGGGCACAGACGTTCTCCTGTAAACCGTGTTGTTGTGACCCTTTTTGATCAGGGTCTAGCTCTGAAAACTCACTAGGCAAATCTCCCTCCTGAAAAGCTCTCTTTATGTCTTTTTTTTTTTTTTGAGACGGAGTCTTGCTCTGTCGCCCAGGCTGGAGTGCTGTGGCCCGATCTCAGCTCACTGCAAGCTCCGCCTCGAGGTTTACGCCATTCTCCTGCCTCAGCCTCCCAAGTAGCTGGGACTACAGGCGCCCGCCACCTTGTCCGGCTAGTTTTTTTGTATTTTTTAGTAGAGACGGGGTTTCACCATGTTAGCCAGGATGGTCTCGATCTCTTGACCTCATGATCTGCCCGTCTCAGCCTCCCAAAGTGCTGGGATTACAGGCTTGAGCCACCCCACCCGGTCTATGTCTTTCCCTAGACCTAATTTGCCTCTCCTACCACAGGAGTGGCCTGTGGGAGTTGTGCCTGAGCAGGACGCTCTGTCTTGATTTTACAGATTCCAAAACTGGGTTATTCCTTCCTTTCTCCTAGGCTTTTTGTTTTTTTTTGCTGGAGTTTTGCTCTCGTTGCCCAGACTGGAGTGCAGTGGTGCACCCTCAGCTTGCTGCAACTTCTGCCTCCCAGGTTCAAGCGATTCTCCTGCCGCAGCCTCCCGAGTAGCTGGAATTACAGGCATGCACTCACCACCACACCTAGGTATTTTTTTGTATTTTTAGTAGAGACGGTTTTGCCATGTTGGTCAGGCTGGTCCTGAACTCCTAACGTCAGGTGATCCACCTGCCTCAGCCTCCCAAAGTGCTGGGATTACAGGCATGACTCCTAGGCTTTTTTCCAAGTTTGTACATTTGTGTTTATGCACGCATACATCTCTGTGCAAGTGTGTGTGTGCATGTCAGTGTGTGTATGTGCTTGTGTGCACATCTGTATGTGCATCTCCACATGCATGCACATTTGTGCATATCTGTGCATGTGTCTGTATATGTAGGTATGTGCAGGCGTGTGATGAGACCTGGGTGCACACGGTCTCAGAGCAGCATTGACTTCCTTCTTCCTGTTATCTCCAACCAGAGTGGGCCTGGGTCTCCCTCCCACCCTCCCTTCAGCACACGGAGATGCTGCCCTTAGGTTAGCCTCCTCTCCTGCCTTGGAATGGGCCACAGAGGAACACTTGCCCCGTCCTCCCAGGATGACCCCCCCCCAGGTCCCCACAGTCAAGAAATCCCTCCCAGAGTGAGGTCTGGGCCAGCTGCGTGTCCTCTGCCGTCAGCTGTGCGGAACCACACCTTGTTGCTTTTGCTCCTTTGGGCTCTGGACCTCCTTGTGCTGCCCAACATGTCCTGGATGCCATCCCCCATCAGGGGAGGCTGGGCTGGGGTCAGAGGTGAGATGGATTTTACGGAGTGCCTGCTCCAAGCTCTCGTTCCACACAGGGGGAACTAAGGCATAGAGGCTCTTCACTCGGCCCCATGGTGCATTCACTGCCCATGTTCCTGGAACGGCCACAGGCCCCTCTTGTCACCCCTATGGACAGCCCATCTAGAAGCAGTTCTGTGTAGCCGAGATTGGCGTGAGGGTTGGCGGGTGGACAGAGGGGCTGTCCAGCTCATGCCCTCCCCATCGCGAGTGCCTGGTTGGAGGGCGGCGGGGGCAGGAACGAGCGTGCTCCCCGCAGGCTGGTGGAGGTCAGGGTCTTAGCAGATCAGGGAGGGCTCAGGAGACAGGTCAGGGCTGGGGCAGGGGCTCCAACCTGCATAGTGAGCCTTAGCTGTTACTCCCCGGCCACAGCTCGGGAGCGTTTTCCAGCACAGATGGCTCGGATTGCCTGGAAGGTGCAGTGTGCACCAGGGATGATGACAGCTGGCCTGTGGGCCCTTGTTAAACTTGTAATTTCATGAGTCCTAGGTAGCCCTAGAAGCTTGCTCCGGGCCAAAACTTGGCAAATGCCGTGCTGCCCCGGGATGGCATTTTCTGTGCGGTGGTTTCACTGTCAGAACAAGTTAAATTGGCTGTTTGGAGGCAGGTGATGAATTTTGGGGCCTGCAGGTTGTCATTTGGCAGTGGGGTCTCTGTAGGAGTCAAAAGTGTGTGTTCAGTAGGAACGGCGCTGGAAGCCACAGATTCTCGTGCTGTTGACGTAATTACATCATGGAGAGCTCATCCAAAAATTAGGAATTTTGCCAGGGACTACAGCCAGTCCTCCCTGTGGAAGTCTGGGTGACAGGCATGGTGGCCCTGACGGGATGCTACAGACTTTAATGGACACCCAAAAGACTCTCAGGCCCAAAAGACTCCCAGGGCAGCTCCCAGAGACCGGTCAGCTGCAGTTACATGAAGGTTCTAGGGGATTTCTCCTTGGCATCATCAGCTCGCAGGCCTCCCGTGGGCCTGTGAGCTCTGTGAGGGTGTGGTTGGGACTGGGAACACAGCAGGGGATGGAGCAAGTGATTCAGTTCCCTGCCTTCCCAGAGCTGGTGATCCCACAGCTGAGTATCCTTTAGGGGTGGTGCTCAGGTCAGGTGATGGCAGAGGCTGCCCTAGGAAGTGACTCTGGGGCTGAGGTGGAAAGCTGGAGAGAGAGCCACCGAGCAACAGGACAGGGAGGTGCAGAGACCAGGACACACCCAGGGTGTCAGTATCTGGTGAGGAAGAGAGCTGAGAACTTTGGCTGGCACTGCTCTGCCACTGCGGTGGAGCCCAGTGAGGCACCAGTGGCCCTGGCTGACATCTAGTCCATGTATGTGTACCAAGGGCACTGGCCCTGAACAGCTCAGTGGCTTCATCCTGCCAGTGAGATACAGATAGGATCTTGCCAATGACATAGAGGTAGAAGATAAAGTCGGATCCAGAGTCAGCCCATGTGTGGAGGTGTCTTACAGGAGTCATAAAGGTTGACAGTAATGAGAAAGGAGATAGCTGATAAATGCCAATCAGGATGAACCTAGGGGCTCTATAAAATGATCAAACTAAATTGGCTTGAAGATAAACAGTGATATTTAGAGACAATGCTGCTATAAAAAGGTCCACCCACTGGGAAGATACTAACTTCCAAATTTTTATGTACCTAATAAAATGAACTCGAAACATATCTATAGAAAGCACAGACTGGGCCGGGTGCGGTGACTCACGCCTGTGATCCCAGCACTTTGGGAGGCTGAGACGGGCGGATCACAAGGTCAGGAGATCGAGACCATCCTGGCTAACAAGGTGAAACCCCATCTCTACTAAAAAAAATACAAAAAAATCAGCCAGGTATGGTGGCAGGTTCCTGTAGTCCCAGTTGCTGGGGAGGCTGAGGCAGGAGAATGGCGTGAACCCAGGAGGCGGAGTTTGCAGTGAGCTGAGATTGCACCACTGCACTCCAGCGTGGGCGACAGAGTGAGACTCCATCTCAAAAAAAAAAAAAAAAAAAAAAAAAGCACAGACTGACCTTAAACATTCCAGAGGAATTGCTAAGATTCATAATGAAAAGGTTGTCAATGAAAATTACACATCAGGTTCCTGTCCTGCCTCTGCACCTGCCAGCCATGAGCTCCACACAGTTCAACAAGGGCCCATTGTACAGACCCTCGGCCGAGGTCAAGCAGCATCTCTTACCCAAATTACAACCTGTAGAAGGAGGCAGAGCTCCACAGATGGATGGAGGGACCCACCAGCCTCTGCATCAGCCCTGACTTGCAGAAGGGCCTGAAGGACGGGATTATCTTATGCACACTCATGAACAAGCTTCAGCTGGGCTCAGTCCCCAAGATCAACTGCTCCATGCAGAACTGGCACCAGCTAGAAAACCTCTCCAACTTCTTGAAGGCCATGGTCAGCTACGGATGAATCCTGTGGACCTGTTTGATACCAACAACATGTTTGAGAGTGGAAGCATGACACAGCTGCAGGTGTCTCTTCTTGCCCTGGTGGGGAAGGCCAAGACCAAAGGGCTGTAGAGTAGGGTGGACATTGGCCTCAAGTACCGGGAGAAGCAGGAGTGGAACTTGGACAATGCCACCATGAACGCCGGCCAGTGTGTCATCAGGCTGCAGATGGGCACCAACGAATGGGCCAGCCAGCTGGGCATGACCGCATACAGCACAAGGCAGCACCTCTACGACCCCAAGAGCCACACCCTGCCCCCCATGGACCACTCGACCATCAGCCCCCAGATGGGTACAAACAAGTGTGCCAGCCAGGTGGGCATGATGGCTCCCAGGACGTGGTGGCACATCTGTGACACAGAGCTGCGAACCTACTAGTGTGGCAACTTCTCCATGTCCCTGCATATGGGGTACACGCAGGGTGTCAACCAGAACGGCCAGCTCTCCAGCCTGGGCTGGCAGATACACGACCCCCAAGTACTGTCCTCAAGGCACAGTGGCCGACAGGGCTCCCTTGTGTGCTGGCAACTGCCTGGGTCCAGGGGAGGTTCCTGACTATCTTCCTTACCAGGAGGAAGCCGGCTACTGAGGCTACCAGCACATTCTCTCCCCACATCATCTCCCTGTCTGGGTTTTTAAAAATTTTTCTGTGTTTTCATCTTTTTTTTTTCTTAACCTCTTCAGTGTTGCCAGTCAGCTAAGCGTCTGTGAGCGGCATGGGATCAGGTAGCAGGGCTTTCTTCTCCTATGCCTTGGTCCTTCGCAGGACTGAGCCACCAGGCTGTGGGGGAAGGGGTCAACGTGGTATCCTGGTATGGAGGGTGAGGGTCCCTGCTGGCACGTGCAGGCTGTGGGCCGAGCTGTGCTGGGGAGAAGCGACCTGGGCTTGGAGGGAACTGGTTCCCAAAGGTTTCCGCGTGCCGCACCTTCTCCCCCTTTTGTCAGCTGATGAGTTTGTGGTTTTTGTACTTGCAAAAGTTTCAGGAAGTATTAACAAAAGAAAAATACATTTACCCGCCCCCCAAGGAATGGGGCGGGGACAGTGGAGAGGGTGCTGGGAAATGAGTCCCCTGGGAGAGGGGGCCTGGCCATGAAGCTAAATATCTCAGGCCCCCAAGTGGCTGGATTTCCCTAGGCCCAACAGACCTTGGACCTCAGACCTTCCCTGCGGCCCAGTGGGGAGAGTGAGGCCTGTACAAAGAAGTGGAATTCTGAGTTGTTGGGGCTAAGCCTGATCCCCTCTCCATGCTAACCCCACCCCACCCCTACTGTGGCCTCAGTAGGTTTTGTTGTTGTTGTTTTTGCCCAGTGGTTGGAGGTTGGAGTGCAGTGGTGCGATCTTGGCTCACTGCACCTCCACCTCCTGGGTTCAAGCGATTCTCCTGCCTCAGTCTCTCAAGTAGCTGGGACTGCAGGTGCTCCACCATAACTGGCTAATTTTTACATTTTTATTAGAGACAGGGTTTCACCATGTTAGCCAGGCTGGTCTTGAACTCCTGGCCTCAGGTGATCCGCCCACCTCGGCGTCCCCAAGTGCTGTTTATGGGTGTGAGTCATTGCGCCTGGCCCCTCAGTAGGTTTTAAGGAGCCCCTAGCTCTCCCTCTCTGGGCCTGACAAGTTATAATGCTCCATCTCCCCCAGCCACACGCTCTGCCAGGTACTGCACAGGGACACCCACCCAGGGGCTGTGCTCCATGAAATAATGTGAA